CCAGGTTCTCCGCTGGTGTGATCCTGTACGTCTTTGCATATATCTACGGCCGCCTTAAACGCTAGCCATTCACTTGCTTCGCCGCTGAAGATCGGGAGATCTTGGCTTGCCTCGGCGCTACCCTATCCGCTCGTTCGTCCACAGCTCGTTCAATAGCTTTGGCCAGCCGGGTGAATCCTTCTTGCATCCCGGCTTCAGGAGCGGGGGACCTCCGTCTTTGCTTCGGCGTCCTCGGCGGTGAAGCTTGCCTTTCTGTTGGCTCTTTCTGCGTAGGCGGTGGGGAATTAATTCTCTGCTCCCCCCGTACTTCGGTACGTTGAAACCAATCCGTTATACGTTGCAGGCCGGCACCTTCCTCGGAGCACACGCTATCTCTATCGGTCTCTTCATGTACCGCGGCGACATCGGCTGCCAACTTCTTTCTAATTAAATCAGCCTGTAATTTCGCCATCTGTAGCGCTGCCTCGTACTCCAGCCTCTTTAATTTAGCTATACCGCTAGCGGTGGAGCGGCGCGATCGCACCGACGCGGCCCGGGCCGGACGTACATCTGTCGTCGGCGGCTGCGACGGTGGCGCCGGTGCGGAGAGGTAAACGCGGCGCGGGCGGCTTGTGCCTGTGGCGCGCTCGACGGCGCGGCGGACGCGGACATCTGCGTGGTTTCTGAAGGGGACGCTTCTGTCTGTTCATTTTCCCGCGTGGTCTTTTTCTCTGCTCCCGGGGCTTGGCTTCTCGTAGTCGGCATCGTGTTCTGGCACTTGCAAGCCCCTAACCTACCGGTCCCTACCTACCTAACCGTCCCTAACAATCCCTCAGGATAACACCCGAGGGGATGGACTATGGGGATAGGAGGGTAGGAATTACCCCGCAGTGGTGCGTATGTACAGACGGGGCGCTCAGGGCCGGTTCGGACTTTCCGACCCCTTTGGCAGTGCCTACAGTCCGGCCCCCGCTATACGATACACACGTACAGGCGTAATAGTGCTATTCGGTTGCGCCACGGTAACAAGCAACAACCGGCAGTGACACACCACTCACTGCACCGCTCAATGGCGTTAACCCACACTCCGACCGTTTGACACCGTTTGAGCCGCGGACACACCGCTTAGACGTTATCTATCCTATATGGCGTAGACGTTATTTATCCTATCCTCGCTGCACCCTCAAGTTTTCACCTTACGACGGCAGCTAAATTCGGTAAGCTGCTAGCGTCGCACCGTTGGGTGATCTTCCTCGGCGAGGTACGTCGCACCGTTGGGTGATCTTCCGCGGCGATTCGTCGCACCGTTGGGTGATCTTCCACGGCGATTCGTCGCACCGTTGGGTGATCTTCCACGGCGATTCGTCGCACCGTTGGGTGATCTTCGGTCTTGATATCCGGCTCGAAGGACCACAAAATTGTGGGGTACACAATTAAAAGGTCTTCGATTTTCTAAATGTGTGGACTGTATTTCAATTTGTTTCTTATTCTATGGGTCGGCCGGCCGGAGTGGGGTTTTCTTGGTCGTTGCGCCGGCGGTGGTTCTTCGTCGGTGGCGTATGCGTAAGAGAGCGCGATCGAGAACCAACCCGCCTTTTACGGGCGCCCGAGCGCGTCCTTCCCCACCCCCGCCGAGCCGTGCGCGTCGGCCGTACCACCCTCCCGACAATTCCTGCACATGTCGGTGACCGACGGGCCGGAACAGCGAATACGCACACATTTAAAATTAAATACAATAGTAACAACACAAAAAACTACAAAAAACCACGTGCGACTAAATGCCACATGTTCAGGCTACACTAAAGCTGTGATCCCTAAGAATTTACACAATGGGCGGACATAGAATTCACAGTATCTATGCCGCTACAAAGGGTATATGGTACAAACAATAGTCTAACCTAAACAATAGTCAAAACACTGGAAAAATACAAATTTATACACAAATTTATTTACATATTTTCGATGCCGACTCGTGGTCCGCAACAAAAAATATATGTACTAAGTCTATTATTAATATCTATATAATGTTTTCCTAGAAGTATAATACAGTCAAAATTAGAACCTACTTATTTATGTTCGGAAAAATACACCGCTTATTTGTTTTCCTTCAAACATACATAAAAATAACAACAATATTCCTTCCTTTCCCTAATCAGATTATTGGCGTTACCTGAGTGATACATTATGCCATGTAACATAAGTATGAATGAAGTATAAGCTGACAAGAAACATGCAAGAAAAAAGAACACAAGAGAGAAGTTACGCTCTTTGTAGGTGCTTCTAAAATTGGGCCAGTAACAACCTGTTGTTTACATTTCACAAAATGTATTTCGCATAATAAAATTATTTATTACACTTTTGTTAGTATATATATTTTGTTGTTTTAATCAAAACAGAAGACTGTTAGAAAATAATAGAATACCTATAATTTATTGTTTCATTTCAAAAGAAACTCGTTGTTGTATCTAGGTGATAAAATTTATTGATAAGCATAAAGGTAGAGGATGCCCTCCGCCTCTTCGCTTCGATTTACTCGATACCTACGCAAGAGATTTTATGGACATTTCGTTCTCATCCATTATTGCCTCCAAGCAGCTTGTTTTCTATTGTTTCACTAGAAGAGCAAGATAAAACAATGAAATAATATAGTACTTAGGCATGACACCATAATTCTCTGGAGTGGCAATGCATGTACTACTACTGTTCATCATACAATGCCAGTACTGTTACTGTTCGTGCATATAGGCGACTGTTGCTACTCACTGTTAGGTTGATCATCAGCCTGTTTCCCATTCCAGTTACATAAAATAAAAGCCATTTTATTTTATGGAATAATTTCCAAAAATGAATGTTTTTTTTGGAAGTAAATACAGTAAATAGTTCTTTACATTTTTACATAGCACAATAGTAACGCGCTACTTTCATTTTAGGTAATTAACATTTCAGATTAAGTAATTATATATCCAGCTTCTGGCATGCATAACTACAAAATAAAATTCAGATTTAACCTTTATATAAAAAAAAAACTATTACGTTGCAAAAAATAGAGAATGTCAATAACCAATCGGTACATGTAAATAAATAACCTCTGATCAATTAATACAGCGCTATCTAAACCCATGGTAAGCAGAGCTTGTATTATGGGTATTAGACAACTAATATAAAAACGACCAGATCAATACAACCAATCATACTCATGAACCAGTGTTGGCACCGTGCGAAGAATCGAACCCGCTACCATTAGAAGTAAAACGGCGTGGCGCAACTAACTATGCAAGAATACCATGACCGACTTGTAAATGCTACAATTTAAGATTAAGTCACAATTTACAATGTTTTGATGTGTTAAATCCACTGACACTTTGTGAACTGATTTTCAAACCGAGAAGAGCTTACAAGATACTAGACAAATATATTTACTACGTGACCAGACACTACACTAATTGTGCCCAAGGCACTTGTATCCAAAGACGTAGTACGCCATTAGTAGCCATAAATTCTATACTCTGTGGACTCCTAAACTGTAAGACGTTCGAGATCAGAGAACAAGTGTGTTTAACATTTATTGTACAGTAATAATACTACTGTGGCCTGTAGCCACGAAAAAACCGATTAATCTCATTATTAAAGATTCAAAAACTATTATATATAGATCAAACTTGTGATCAAACTATGAGAAATAAAAGTATTCAAATAAGTTTTATTAATTATAAATTTGTTGGTTTTTTCTTTTTTTCGAACTACTCTAATGATGTAGACCGCAGCACCTTGCAGCTTCATCGAAGGATAAGGGGTGAGCGCAGATGGCACTTCAAACCCGCGGAAAGACTTATGGAGCGCCTGAAATGCATTTCCCGTCTAATATTTGTTGTCTGTTTTTCTTATAGTAATAATATTATTATGCAACTAATATATAGTGTGTAACAAAATAATAATAGATTTATAAAATCTTACCGATATAAGGTAACAAGTTTGTATGAAGTTTCTCTCTACTAATTGTAATTTCCAATACTTGTACCTCATTGTTGCTGACGTACTGGCCACACACCTTTATAGTTCATATTTTGTATTTTCTAATTTTATTATATATTTTTATATAGAGAGCTTTTAAATATCTAATAAAGATTGTAACAGACAACAACACTCATCAATGCCAAAAAAATATTAATTATGTAATTAAATAGTTTACTAATAATTATAAATAAACTTAATACTAATACCAATAATTTGTACTAAGTTTATAAGTCCAAAACTTATAAAGGAGTGTAGTATTGCTTATGTTATCTGTGGTATTACTAATGCATTCAGATACATACAATCCTGTTCTTGTTGTTACGATGCATCAAATATCCAACGTAGCATGTAAACCCTCGTAGCAATTAACGACCCTGTGTTGCCTTATTTATGGATCAAATACCTGCCTACTGGATATATTGCAGCACGGCTATTAAGTAACCAAGGCTGCATGGCTGCTAGTTAGGTTTGTGTTATTTCCATTAAAAGACCGTGAAGTGTCAATATAGCATGTAATATTATTAAATTACTTATATTGTCAATTGGTTCTGAACACAAATAATATTCTGTTAAATAATGGTATTTACCTCTCCACATTGACATTCTGATACTCCAGTCAGCTCGTGACTGTGTTACCTTTATTTATCATAAAATTATTCGTGTTAAAACCCGATTAACAATATAAATAATGTTTAAAAATAAATATAAGTGATTAAAATTGCCAGAAATGAAAAATTCTTTTAATATTTTCCAGTCATTATGTTTATCTATATAAATTAAAAGATTGATTTAGCGATTATTAAAGATTTTCTCACTTTCAAAGTTTCAAATAATAGAATAATAATTTATTAGTGTATTGTTTCTAGTCTTTCTTTTATGTATAATTAAATAAATATTACTTAGGTTTATACGAAAATCTATCATGAGGTTTTTAAGGAATAGTATATTAACGTTTCTTAATAGAGACAAGATAATTACTACAATTAAAATTCTAGAAATGTCAGAGTTCAACATCGATCCTGTTTAATCATACTCCATTCTGAAAAGAAAAAGTTAATTAAATATCTCTAATTAAACAGATGGTTTGTTGCTGATGAAGCAATTAAGAGTCTTTAAATCTGTGGGCTAATTATGTAACACGATATGAAATTATTTCTGTTGAAGTTGTGATGCAATATGAAATCATTTCAATTTAAAAAATGCGATCAAGTAAGGTCGAATGACCGCAACATAAATCATTTCTATCGATAAAACACTACTATGAAGTTGCAGCGGAATATTGTTAATCCGACCAATTTAAAAAGTCAGTACATTAGATAGCTTATACCTTTAGAGGGATACATTTTAATTTATTGGGTTGTTACACTAGTTGGTTGATTTGAAACAATTTTTATTGCGTTCAAAAATTACAAAATATACTGCAGCGTTCACTTGTTCTTTTATTTTAATTTTATTAATAGACATTTAATAAAATAAAATAAAGAAAGTCTATTCTATTCTAATGAAAAAATAAGGTTAATAATTTTGAATATAAAAGCATATTTTATACAAATCATTAATAATATTAATTTAACCTACAAATTAAATTTTCTTTTCTGCTATACATACCTAGGTAAGTACATATCCATATATATGATATACATCTTTTTAAATTTGTACATAATTGTAAAAACTTTAAACAAATAAATTTATTTACTTTAAACAAATCACAGAGCATCATAAACGTTGTATTCCGTTCACAGAGCACCGTATTCATTGAAATAGTTTTTTAATTATATTAATATCATAATCAACCCTAATTTTATATTAAACATTTACTCTATAATATTCTATGTGATTTGGGACGAAAATAAAATATCGAATTGGCAACACTGATGTCGTGTTGTGAGTCGTGACAATTTTCCCATTTTAATAAATTTAAAACCTTTTCACGACTTTCTACGTAATATTTAATATAATAAAAATATATGTAATACTGAAAATTACCAAAACAAGATAAATAATGCTGCTAATGCTGATATTTTAAAGATTGTAACCAAAAGAAACACCTTCTATGTAAATTGTTTCTCATAATGTAAAAACCGTTTCAATTCCACGCTGTCATTTCGGCAAAATAGCGATTACGTGACGTTGCAACGAGGTTACTAAATCGACATTCGATAGAAATAATTTTTATCGATATGTAAAGTTGCGTTTACGTTGCAATGCTAGTTGACAGCGTCAAATGGCGTCTATATGATCGCATTATTGACAGATGACGTCATTTTTACTACGTTACATACGAAAATCGTTGCGAACGAAGTTACATAATTAGCCCACAGGTCTGTATGTATGAGACGAGTTATAAAATTTAATGAAAGTTAATGAAACCAACTATATTCGTTTCTAAAAGCTTACTCCATATTGTAAACAAACAGGAAATATAAATATACTCTCGACAACAGCAAAGTCTGATCCTTTAACTGAATATTCCCTTGAACATTTCAGCATGTACATTTGTATATTTTTAACAAAGTAAAATGTTATGTTTTTTTATAGTACCTATTATTATTTATTTTCATGTTACTTTATTTTACTTTTAAGATATGATTTGTAGAAAGTCTTCTATATGGGATCTTTTGTTTCACCTAGCTAGCATCTTAGCTAGGCACAGGTACAATATTAAAGGATGTGCTTGAGTTGAGGTATAAATTCTGTAATTATATTAATTAACCTGTGGTATGAATGCATGACTTCAGTAGTTAAGAAAGACAACATATGGGGAGGGTTACGTCATAACATATCCGTGGTGCTGTTCACATAAATAAACTACTATCTAAAAATCTAGAGAAGTGTGTCCACAAAAAAATTACGATGGAAGTATTATTCAGTATTCGATCTTTCTCTATTCAGAGACCTTTCGTCTTCCCTATACCAAATAGGAAAGCGATACTTTCAATCGAAATTTTCATAAATATTTGCGTTCCGCTTTCGGTTTATTCTATTACTAGCTATACCTGTAGTTTTCTCTGCCTGAACTTGTGCCTTTGTGTTATTCTGATGTATAAGCTATATTACTGCAAAGTTTTTGCGTGAAAGAGTAACAAATATCCATGTATCCATCCATACTTACAAAATTTCGCGTTTATAATATCAGTAAGATTATAATAAATATGATGGTAATTTATTCGTTATTTAAAAAATTAGTAGTAATTCCAATATCTTACATTTTTTTTAAATTCTTATACTATCTTGTATCGTTCGTATGATTTTTTTTTTCGGACTACTCTAATGCTGTTGGCCGCAGCTGGCCTTTACAGCTTCACCGGACGTTAGGGGGCGAGTGCAGATGGCACTCCAAACCCGCGTAAGGATTTATGGAGCGGCTGAAGGTCAACTCCTGCTTGACGGATACGACTTTAGTCTGAGGGCACCACTAGGGGTTCGAACCTCGGCTCAGGCCGTCGTAATATCGATCCTCGTTTGAATTGGACGAGAGATCGATCGGAGGGGTAGTCGTATGAATGACCTAAAGATAGGTCCTTTTTGGTGTCGATAATACTTATTTATTCTAAAAGAATCTTGTTTAAAGTAAATCAGATCAATGTTACATTTAGTTGCCTTATATCTACTATGGACAAAATTTCATTGTGTTATTGTAGAAAATGTTCATAGTAGCATTGTGTATGGAGAGAGGTGAGGGATATGCAGCCTTAATCTATTTTGTAATATCAACCATAACATGCTTATCTAATATCATATGAAGTAAGCGTATGTACTCACGTCTCCAACTATTGCAATTTTCGAACTCCATCTCACAGTAATTGTTAAAAGTTTTAAATTGTCCGTCGTAATGTCTCGCACAGACCAAACTCTGTCTATAAAGAACGGTGTACTTACAAACTTTTATTACCAATACAGAATATAAATCTATAATCTATTCTATTTTATATTCTAATGTATTTAACATCTTTTTTATCTATACTTATACTTTAATACTATATAGTAAACTATGTCTATACATACTAAAGAAAACAAGTTTCATTAAGATACTTTCAACCCTTTAATTGCCAAAACATATAGTCATATCTTTCGTATATATGTAATTGGTATGGACACTTACATTTATATTTTTTTTATAGACTTTTACCATAGATAATAATATATTACATACTTTTACCTATTATTTTATATCTGGGATCAAAGTCACAAGAATATTCACTTTAATTATATAAATATGGATTCCATTTCAATTATTTCATCAAAAATTATTAAATTACAATACAACAAAAAAAGTGAACAAGTGGGAAATCTTCCGATAGTCGGTTTCATGTGTCTCGTCCAGTGTGTATGGTCCAGACTAATACAAACTGTGTGACTCTGTATTTGTATTTTCTATGCATATTTAAAAAATTAATTAGAAAATATTATTGAAAATAAACTCTGCTTTGTTTAGAATTAAATAGTTTTATTTAATGCGTCTAGAATTATGTACCTACCCTACATATATTTATTTATAAATGTAGTGTAACTGTGTCCAGATAATGAAATTAAATAAAAATAATAAAATAAATCTTACTTGTACATCTGAGGGCAATCCCTAATAAAAATAGTACATCCCTTATCGATGAGGTCTGCTTTTCTAAACACCGATTTTTTAGGATAGAACCGTACCTTCCATGGCTTTGTGTGTGTTTTGTTTACGTAATCAACGCCCATTGTTGTTGTTAATAATGCTGTAACAATAATCTTGTTTATTTTCCTTTTTATATAGTACGCAATTGGCAATGTTTTGAAATAATGTAAACACTGCAAAATGTAATACATCGTACTGACGATGATTCACAAAAGTCCTAAACAAATAAAAAAAAGTTTCTTGTATCTAGAAAACAATTAATGCTCGACCTATGTACATATATATATATATTGATAGCACTTACATATGTATATTACGTCAGCATCTGATTGTAATGCAATCCTTTATGCGTTGCCATACTCTATTAATCGTGTAAACCCTTATACCTTGTAATTTTACATTCAAACTGAAATACATCATAGAAGAGAAGAATGGAGGAAGGGGATTGTTAGTAATGTGGACTAATAACAACATTGCTAGCAATGTCCTATGTCAGGTTGACCTCCACGTTCACCCTGGAAACCATCGTGCTAAATTCATAGTGAATTTACCATGAAGGGCTAACTGACCTGACCTCAAACTCATCATCCTCCACTGGTGCCCCGCCACCGTTTGCGCAAGCGGGTGCACTATTCCATTATCACCCATACAAAAATATACATTTTACAAACTAAGCTACCTCGTGAGCAATGTTTAGTCAGAGGTACCAATGTCTACGTCGGTAAGAATTTCAAACTAAAAGTTTCTAACTTTTTTAATTCTTATATCATAAACCTATACTACCGATTAAAATGATCGGGTGAATTTAAGAAAATCGTAGTCGGGACCTTTCTTACATTTAGATACGTACAGTCGTACATGCTTGTACCACTACTAACGCAATCAATGCAATGTGTTGAGACGAATATGAAATGAGTTTATGTACTAATAATAAACAAAGGTTTGTGAAGTGAGACGACAATGTTACTATAATTTACCAACTACCAGTTGCTCTTCAGTTTACCCGTGATTATGGCTACTCCAAAATTACTGGAATATAGGAAAGTCAATACTACGAATATATAGAGATATTATCCCGTTTTTTCTTAATAGTAGGTAATATTAATTATTATTATTATAATAAATTTACAAAGTGCAATGTTGTCTCAAGCCAAGCAGAGCTTTGTGTTATCTCTATTAGACAACGGATATTAATACACAGATTCTTATTCTTTTTAATAAATACATAATATACATAGAAAACAATCAGACCGATACAAAAAATCATAGTCATGAATGCAAAGGTTATATCCATAAAAACTTTGAATGTCATATTTATGTACATATTTGATCAACAGCCTTAAAAATAGGTTTCAAGTTTCTAAGTTTAAAAATGACGATACTTCCATATAAAATTTCATCTCCCCTCCCCTCTTCCCTTTCAGCCCTTTACAACGGTTTTTCACATTAAAAGGTAGCCTATCTCCTTTCTCAGGGTCTGTACTATGTGTGTACCAAATTTCATTTTAATCGGTTCAGCAGTTTTGGATTAAAGGCGATACGGACAGACAGCGTTACTTTTGTATTTATAGTATTACTAAGGATTATTTAGGATATACTGATAGGATAACTTTAATTCTACAGCACTCATTTCAAATTCTATCACGTAGCGGAATTACATTGATATCTAATATTGGAAATACTCACAAAGTAATACCAATAGGGAGTGATTTCGCAGCATAATGCTCCACAGATAAGGTATACGAGTAAAATAAAACGAAATGCTCAGACTGAATGCAATAATCATAAAACAAGTGGTAGCTGTAGGCGAAAAGAAATTGGGCGTTACATTCAACAAGAATGAGAGAAGTTTATTTTTTATTATGAGTAAGTTTAGTTGTGCGTCGTTTATAAAGATATTTTTTTTAATAGACGAAACTGGAATGGTGCTTCCGCCGGCGCTGGCGGAGCACCAGTGGAGGATGATAATATGAGTTCAGGGGAGTTCATCCCCTCCGATCGATCCCCAGTCCAATTCAAACGGGGATCAAAATTACGACGGCCTGAGGCGAGGTTCGAATCCAAAACCTCACACTAAAGTCATATCCGTCAGGCGGGAGTTGGCCTGGTATTTATATAACACGAGCTGCTTAGGACATTTGGATCTAGATGACGCTGTGTGAAATGTCCTCAGATATTAATATATATTATGTATAATATTCGACAGAAATTATAAGGTACGGAAACAACAACAATGACACTGTACTCGTAAATAAAATGGCAACGTTTGAATGGTACCACAGATATTATTTTTACCATTTATTATCAGGTGGGCTGTTACATTATTTACTGTTCGAATCAGAATCAAGTAAAGAATTAAGTCCCCCCCTCCCCTCACCCGTAGCCTAGGCGCCCTAGGATACTTCGCAGTTAGGTGGAGCGACGACATACGTAGGGTTGCGGGTAATAACTGGAAGAAAAGAACTGAAGATCGTGCCCAGTAGTGAGCCTTGGGAGAGGCCTAAGTCCAGTAGTGGACTGTGTATGGATGATGATGAATATATCCTGTATAACTCAGCGAGGCGAATTAAATTTATCGCTATTATTTTCTTATCATCAAAGCCGATCCTGTAAAGGATTATCGGTAAAAGCTAAGCACTCGAGTTCACAATATTTATTTGAATTTGTATCAACTGCTATGCCACTGTGACGTATTCGTACATATATACTGATTTTGTTGCGGTTGAGTGCATTTTTATGGTTCTGTGAACGATAAAAAAACGAAATCTATATATTCATTTTATGAATACAAAAATATGTCTATATGTTTAACCACTTTACTAAAACACATATTTTTTAGTATATGTCTATATATCTGTTATCTTTGTACGTCTAAAATACTACATTAAGTATTAATTAATGAATTGTTGTACAGAGTAAAACTAGATCTTGGTAAAGGACATATCTTAATTTTTTTTAATATAAAAAAATATATATATTGACCTTGGAATGAAAACAATAGGTAAATATAAACAATTAAACGTTGGTATATAGTTTTAAAACTTAATTAATGTTTTTTAATAATGTATATTTCACAAGTGCCCTAAAATCTAGAATTCCGTTGCTCCACTTGTTCCTTCATGAATTATTTAATTTTATCACATAACATTCTTCAATACAAAATATTAATAACTTATATGATTATAAGTGTTTAATTTATAACCTTTAAATAATATCTACAGGACCTTAATAATATATGCAATTCACGCTTGACTAATTTTTTAATGCTACTGATATAGGCAATAAAGATTACGACCCACCCGATAGATGTTACTATCGCTTGTAGTCATGAACATGAATGTTTCAAGGATTACACATAACAAAAATCATTTGTACACAGTTTGCCTGCAATATTATCTAAATACTTTGGTACCTTGTCACAATAACTTTCTAAAAAACAACCTTAAAAAATGTTATGGAAAGTTCATAATATTATTGCGACAAAGTTTGTACTCCTGACTGTAGCATGCCCAGGCTTAAGAATGATGGGTCCTGCGAGTGTAGACTAAAAAAAGCGTTAAGTATAATACATTTAGAGTTGACCTTCAACCCGCAAATTTCATCTTCCATAGGCGAACGAACTCGTAGCCTTCCAGTTTGAACGAAGCCAATAACCTTCCGCTGTCGAAGTACTATATTCTCTATTTGTATGGCATTAAGAAGTTTTTTTGTACTTTAAGTACAAAGATATTAATTACTGTGGCGACTCTGGACAATTACAGCAACTTAACATATTTTTTGTCTTATAGTAGAAATTTAGAGATAGGCTTTGTAAAATGTTTATCTCGCAAATCGCCTCTGTATGCCTTTGTACCATATTTTTATCCACCGAGCAGCTTGGTTTGTTATATGTACTTTGGTTGAGAATTGGCAAAAGGGAGTAAAATTATAGGATAAGAGGCATGACATTTTGGTCCTCCGAAACGCATGATTGTTATCTGTGATGTCACATGATAACATGGTGTCTTTAATGTTGTTTATGTATTTACTCGACGGTTACTACTTGCTATTAGATGGGCCGTCGTCTTATTTCTCTTTTCAATTACATAAAAAAACAATCATTAATTTATTTTAATTTACTTATTCAGAATTTGTTAAATTTCCGATATTTTCGTAAGCGGTAAAAAGTATTTAAGTTTATTACTTTCAAATTTAGAACTTATTGTAATTATGCGAGTAGTAATTGAGGTATTTTTTCTTATAATAAACATTAGAGGTTTTTTACTAATGGCCAGTTCTGTCAGTCTTCGCTTCGGAGAATCATTATCATATATTTATTTCTCTACAATTTTCCTTAAATTGATTTAATATTTACTTAGAACAGAAACAGAAATATACATAATATACAATATACATAATACATTAAATTAAATATACAGAAATTTAGATACATAGAAATAAAACTGGAATACTCTTCATTATTAACTTATTTTTAAGAATTGGTTACCAATGAACATAGAATGAACTTTTATAAAGAAACTAATTGAAAGGAAATTTAAATTCAGATTTTTTTAATTATCATCAAGATTTAAAAATAAAGAAAAAAATCTATTTTGTGAACGCTATAACAGGCCTAGTGTATGCTTTGTGACAAACATTGGCTTTTGAGCTTGCCATTTTAGTCTTATAAAAAAATCTTATATAAAACATCGCGTTATGATAAATATTTTTTAACTAATCCAAAAACATGCTATTTTTTAGTTAATTAAGCAAGGGACTTATTTAATTAAGAAATTGTAAATTTTAAAACAAATACATATATGAAAGCATCCTTCCCCAGTAGTTTACTTTACGTACGATTTCTTCCAGTCAACCTTTGAATGTCTGGAAGGAAGTGTGAAGTGGTGGACTTAGAAACTTACACATAAATGATATTATGATATTGAAATGACGACATAAATGATATTGTAGTCATTTTATTGAATAGTATAGTAAAAATATTATTAATTAAAATACGATAATGAAAAAAGTCGTATAACCTTGCCATTAAAATTTCATATCATAAATTTTATCGCCGGTGCTTGCTTGCACACTGCAAATTTGAATTGCTTTAATATTTTTTTATATGTAATTTAGTATACAGGAGAGCCAAAACTAAGTGGTTTTACTAAACAGACTTGGACCCGAAAGTCTCGAGTTCTTGTTATATCTGTTACTAACTCTCCGATAGTAGAGACACTGATTACAATTCAGATTTGAACTCGTGTACTTTTAGGTGTAAATCGGAATAGTGAACTACTAGGCCATGACGCTATATTATTACCGTCAGTGTAATATATACAAATTGTATATATTTTATGAATGCTCGTAAATGGCTTAAGGGACATCGTTATTAGCAGCTGGGACATGATTTTGAGATAAAGTTTGGGCTACTTCATTAGTTTATAACGACTCCTTGAGAGTTTCTAAATTACCACAACTTCTTCATTATAATAATGATTCCTTTAATTAACTATTATTAGGTATGTTTTTCAACACACTTCTTTAAAGGGTTTATAATTTTATTAAATTTTTAAACTGAATAAATATCAATACTTTTCTTGGCAATCCTTTTTCCATTCTGTACCTCTTCTTGCGTAAATTTCTTTTTTTCTTCAATATTTATTATTACAGTATTAGTATCTTATCTGTGGTATCTTATATACCATATAGTGTTAAACTATATATATACATAAAGATTTAAGACACTTAGTTAAGAATTTAAAAAAAACGTAAAATCCTTACATAATTTTTTTTATATTAGTTGAAAAGGAGATATATTTTCACTTAGTAACTATTCTGCATAGTGACCACAAGTCGCCGATACCGAGTAACGGTGTAGGGGCATATTCGTGCTCCGGGGTCTGGGATGTACCGAGATACTTTTTGTTGGCAACGTTTATCAGTGCAATGAGTCAATAGCTTCAATAAAGACAACTCTGATCATTATGTCGTCGTGTATAGAATCGAAATTATTATAACAATACTTTTTTATACTTAAACCCGTTTCCTTACAATTGATATGTATATAAAGAGAGTCTTATTGAGGACCTGACAGTAAAACACAAACTAGTGTTCAATAAACATATTGTCATAAAATCAATATAACAATGAAATTCTCAAGGATTTTCTTCGTCTTTTTCGCTTGTGCAATGCTATTCTCCACAACAACAGCAGCACCAGAAAATTTCTTTAAGGAACTAGTAAGTTGTTGAAGTTATTAGAATAATTAATATCTTTAAAAGTACAGAAATTTAAAATATTATTATTTTATGATGCAGGGTTGACTATAAAAATGTAATATCTCATTTCACTAGTATTAATCCGATGCAGTAAATTGCAAGCTTACTTTAGCCTACTTACCTCTAGCCTACCGTCTTTTGGATTCATTTGTTTTGTGATCCAGATCCTAATCTATCCAGATTGATACAATCTGGAATATAAATTGACACACGTTTTTTCTGTCAAAATCGGAATAAACATCAACACAATGAGATCCTTTATAATAAATATTTACAAAAATATTTAATATACTCTATTATATTTTTTATAGAATTTGAAATCCTTATTTTTGACATTAAATAAACGTGATATTTAGAATATTATGTAAATGCCTCTGAAATTTCGATGCTGTTATAAAAATCTTGGTCACTGCACGACTTGTAAAATAACTTACGCTAAAAATATTATCATAGTAAATATATGTTTTGTTGTTGTCTAGCGGTTTAGCACCCCGCTTTACGTCCGATGGTCGCGGGTTCGATCCTCGCACGATACAAATATTTGTATTTATGAGTATGATTGTTTGTATCGGTCTGGGTGTTTTCTATGTATAATATGCATTTATTTACTAACAAAAACATATCCACGTATTTTTATCAGTTATGTAGTACCCATAACATAAGCTTTAGCTAGCTTAACTTGGATATTGATGGCGTTGTTTGAATTGTACTGAGATTATTATTATATTAAAATATTATAATTTTAAAATAAATATAATTATACTAATATTACAATTATAATAAAATATTATTTGTCGTAATTTACAGGAACGTGCTGGTCAAAGAATTCGCGATGCCATCATCAGCGCCGCCCCTGCTGTAGAAACAATAGCACAAGCGCAGAAAATCATCAAAGGTGGTGGTGATTAAGAAAAAGTAATGTTAACTGCAATCATTGTTTAAGTTTAATTATATTATAAAATGTCAATTGTATATAAAATGTTTCGATATAGGCTTCAGTTAAGTATACTATGTAATATTATGCTTGTGTATAAAGTGATATGAAGTTCTAAGCTGTCTTCAATAATAAAATTATATTTTTATTAAAACAAAACTGTCCTTTTATTCACAAAAATATGTTAAACGTCAATAAACCTGTTTTAGCCTTACCGAGGTAGACTGTGAATGAAGATATATTGTACAAACTCGTCTGGATCGATCAGGGGGGGCTAAAAAAGAACAGAGAATCGTACCCCTCTCTGTTCTTATTCAGCCCCCTCCGATTGATCCCCCGTTCAATTCAAACGGAGATTGAAAGAACGAGGATCGAACCCTTGGCGGTGCCCTCAGACTAAATATGTGTCCGTCAGGCAGGAGTTGGCCTTCAGCCGTTCTATAAGTCCTACCGCGGGTTTGGAGTGCCATCTGCACTCGTATCGTATCTTTCCATGGAGCTGTAAAGACCAGCTGTGGCCAACAGCATAAGATTCGTTCAAAAAAAATCTATTTCAGCTTGTATTGTAGTATTTCTTTAGGTTGAAGGATGAAATAAGAGCGTGTAGTTACACGATACTGAAGTATAACCTTAGTCCTTCGGAATCGATAAAACACTCTAATAAAACTAAAAGAAAAAGTTTGTATTTATATTTTTTAATAATTATATAACTCATATTATTTGTATAACAATGTATACTTATTTAATGATACAAGAGCAATAAATTATATATATAACTATACAGTTTTATTAACTGTTCCATATTATTATATGTACTAGATGATTGAAGTATGTTCTTCTATTTTTTAGTAAATTGCATTAGAGTTGCCAATAAATAATGATACAGTTGAAAAGTCTAATAAATAATGCATTGACTACCGAATAGTGTTGCATTGGAATTGTAATAGAAGAATTGTATAATTTATGAGACGTAAAACTTTATATTTATGTACCTGTATTGATAGTTATGCTCGTTCATAGCTCAATGATTTATTGGATAAATAGGACATCTGGAATTATCGAAATATTAAAAAGTCATTATTAGATTTCAGAATTTATAGACAGTTACTGTTTCGCAACACAGTTTTATACCTCATTAATTTCAATTTTTTTTCAGTAATTATATACAGACGTTTCTGTTTCAAATAAATTAAATACTTGCGAGATATTTTTTACGGAGTTCTTAGAATCTTACGATTATGTATAAATATTAGATTGATTACTGGTAGTTATTTAATTACTACGTACTAATTAGTTTTTAATTTGAGAGACGGCGGTGTAGATTCGCCCCCTGATATTTTGGATTTAAATATACCTAGCGCAATGGGCCATATTTGTTTTTTAATACGATGGTGGCAAACTAGCACTCGGCCCATCTGATGGTAAACAGTAACCGTAGATTTTGGACACCTAAAACACTAGGGGTGTCATGTGCGTGTTGCCAACCCTTAAGAAACCTTAATATATCCTTTTTGAAAAACTCCATGCTGTACTGTCTAGGTAACAAATCCGCGAGTAGTTTATTCCATGATGGTAAACGCGGGGGGAAGCTCCTCTGAAACCACTTAGGTGGGGATGAATTCACTCATCTCCAGCGTATGGGCATGAATTCTTATGTCAAGTATTGCGTTACCCACAACATTGACTCTGAGTGTCCCATTTAGAATAATAGTCTTGACGGTATATTGTTTTCGTTATATTAATTTATACAAAGCCTGTTATATGAAATTAAAAAATAAGTTAATGGCCAGAATAAATATTATACTTATGCAGATAAGTAATCAAAATAATACTAATGGGATTGTAATCGCTATCTATATGATTTTATACTTGTATATTGATGTCCTCTGTGGTTTAGCGGTTTAGCACACCGCCTTAGTTTCCAATGTCACGGGTTCGATTTTTCGCACGGTGCAAATATTTATATCCATGCGTCTAATTGTTTGTATCGATCTGGGTGTTTTCTGTGTATATTATGTATGTATTTACAAAAGAATGTATTTAAATATTTATATCAGTCGTCTAGTACCCATAATCAATCTGTTTAGCTTCGAACTAAATGGCCCTGTATGGATTAAACGATTGTCTACTATATTGTTATTATAATTAATATTATTTACATATACATGTATCTGTGCAGTGAAAAGGAATTCCCTCGATATATTTACATAATAATCTGCAAACTTGATAGCAGTGTCAGTGCCTCAGTGGATTGATAATGAACCTCAGTCTACTAACATTATAAAAGCGAAACTAATTCTGTCTGTCTCGCTTTCACGCTAAAACTATTGGACCGATTTAAATGAAATTTGGTACCCTGATAGTCCATACTCTGAGAAAGGACGTAGGCTACTTTTTAATGAGATAAAAGGGTTGTAAAGGGTTGAAAAGGGATATGTAAGTTTGTATAGAAGTATTGTCATTTTTAATGCAAGAAGTTTGATAATTATTTTTAGGCTATTGATTAAATATAGGTAAATAAATATGATTATAAAAAAAAAATCCCTAAGGGGCGAAATAAAATAAGGAATGAAAGTTTGTATCGAAAATCGTTATTTATGAAGCTAGGATAATGAAACTTTTTATTTTGGATTTTTTGAGGTGGTAGTTTATTGAATATTTTTCATTATTTGGTCAAGCGCCGACTATAACACGCGGACGAAGCTAGTATGTATTATAAAGTGGTAATGTTTGTGAGTTTGGATATTTGAGCTAATCTCAGGTATTACTATTTTAAAATTCTTTTAGTATTGGATTTATTGTTATTATTTATATAGTTTTAGGTACTAGTGGACAATAAGATGAGCATGCGGTTATGTTGAGTTGCGCTTTGTGACAAAATTGGCAAGATCAGATTTTGGTACATTGCTAGCAATTAGGTCATTAGCCCATAGTAACAAAAATCTCCTTCCCTCCTAATATATACTAAATGAGTAATGTATGCATATTTCGATGAAAAAAAAGCATTCGACAGTGTAGACAACAACGTACTTCTTCACAAACTTTCAGCTGCCGGATTTTCTCCATTGTTAATTAAATTTTTCTCCAACTACCTTCGCAATCAAAGGCAGTTTGTGCAGTATAATGGGAGCGACTCTGAGCCATATTACACGTATTCCGGGGTAAGTCAGGGGAGTAATTTAGGACCCCTGGATTTTTTTATATTTGTTAATGATTTGCCGGAGGTAGTTACTACGGCGTACTATCTGTTGTTTGCAGACGACTTAAAATTATGTTTTAAAATTACCAATTTCTCTAATTGCGAGCTCCTTCAGAAAGATATAAACAATATCTTTGTGTGGTGTGAAAAAAATCGCTTAATGTTCAGTGACACCAAATGTTCACTTGTAACATTTAGTCGGAATGTAGACACCTATAGGCATAATTATCAGTTAGGTAATGCACTGCTAAATATGGTAAGGTCTATAAGAGACCTGGGGGTTTAGTTGAGTGATGATCTTACTTTCCGAAGTCATATTACTGCACTATGCACTCAGGCGTTCAGGACCCTTGGGTTTGTATTGCGACAGGCACACACGTCAGTTAGACAACCTACATAGTATTAAAATACTATATAATGTCTTTGTACGCAGTAAATTAGAAAGTAACGCAATTATCTGGAACCCACATGAGTCAAAATATATACTCATGGTGGAGAAACTCCAAAAAAAGTTTATACGATATGTATATTAAAGGCAGTATGGTTATAGAGTCACATACCCTAATATATATTCTACTATGCTTTTGTTGGGGATGGTGAGATATGACATACTCGAAGTAAGACGGAAGATTGCAATAGTCAAAGTTATGAGAGGTGAAAAATGTAACCAAGCGGTATTAGCATCAGTATCCATAAGAGCGCCCAATAATTACGTACAAGCAAGAAGACGAAACTTGTTTGATGTTCCATGGAGAAGAACAGAGCTGGCCAAACAGGCTCCTATTTCTCTGGCATTGAGTCTACTCAACGGTGTAATTAGTCTCTTTCCAGATCTAGACATATTTACTTGTCATTTGCTGGAGTTTAGTAGAATGGAATAGAATTGTTTAGGTAGTATGTTAAATTAAGATTAGGTTTTTTTTTCTCTTTTATTTGTGTTAGTAGTGTATATGTATGTAATTAGTATTTAAAATTGTGTGTATTTGTATATTACCTTCCTAAGTGGACATATTGGGAGACTGTAAACTAGTATTGTACTCACTTAGTATGACATAAATAAATAGCTTCTTAACGGCTGCATAGCCCTATTCTTTTTTTCCTTTGGCAATTTTCAGGTAAAACTTACAAGTAACAGTAGTAAAAAGTCAGTGGGTATAGTATTTTAAACGTTTATTTCCTTAAAATCTAATTAATGGCAGTCTCAGACTTGATAAATTAAATTAAATTAAGTCCTAAAATTTAATAACTAAGATCTATTTTCCTTTGTATATAGTGGCTGCCTGCCCCACTACTTGTACTGCTGGGCCGGCTTTTATGATACCATCTCTTATGTTTTGACCAACACGCTCCTGTAATATAAACAATTAATTAACATATTGTTTAATAGCAAGATAAATATCGACTTCGATCCTTCGGTCATGAGTTCGAATACACAAAAAATATTCTAAACTGTGTATCAAGTTCTACTCTTTTTGCATTTCGTTTTAATATCAGTGATATATATATTTTTTTTAAATTATGAATTTTACTAACTTTTTTATTAATTTAATATTGTACTAGGCTGTTTAATATGTTTTTATAAACATTCTTTCCTTAGATTATTTTCCAAACATTAGTAATTTTAATAATGGGTATTTGAATAAAAAAAATATATTTTCAAAGAACAGGCATCTCAAAAATTATATGCTATAGCAATATATTAGCACAACAATGAATTCATATAAAATAAAATAATATTATTTCCACATAAATAGAAGAAAATAAAATAAAAATATACTTACAATCTTTTTGAAAAATTTCCATTTAGGGCTGGGTGCTCCAGAAACCGCCGACAAACCCAAGATGCAGGCGACTACGAATAAGAAGATTTTAGAGAAATTCATTTTTAAAATATTATATTTCGTATTTGGAATATCGAAACTTGAAAATTCAAATCAGACGAAGAAGTATCGACGAGACGTTGCGATTGAATGGTACTGAGTTAAAGTGATCACCAATTTATATACGGCCTTATGTTAAAGACTATGCAGAAGAGAGCAAAAACATTTCCAACAGCAGAGAATAAAAACATTTCCACTGAACTTAATGGCGATAGACATACGACTCAATTTCATTCACAGTGTGCAGTTGATAACGTTACTACTAACTGTAGTCTGTACTCTACACACTGCTCGGTGCAGGTAACTCCCCGATCCGGGAATATTTTTGCAGAAAATAATTAGAAATTATCTCCCGAGAATTGAATGACTCATTTTATAATCAATATTTAAGGAAGAAGGATAAATAATAGTACATCATACTATAATACATTATATTATATAGTGTAATTTAAATTACGTTTAAAATGTTTTTATTTTGTTTTTTACTACTGAATTAGTTATAATAACAGGTCTATGTAATGTGATACGTAAAAAAATGTATGTAGGTCATTATCATTATTATTACATAGTATAAAATAAAGTCGCTATCGTAGTCTGTCCGTTCCTATGTATGCTGTTGGTAGTTGTGATTATTATATGAAAAAGAATCATCAAAATCAACACAAATAACATAATTAAAATAACTTCTTAACATTCCATTGATTCATTGTGCGAGAGCCGGGTCTATCGTGTGGCAAAGAGGGAAATTCTAAGCCAGTATTGTGACCTGGGAGTAGGTTTAAGGCTCCAGTTCCCGACGTCATCAGTACTAACCTTCGCTGCTAATGTTTCGCTGCTTGCTTGACCAAATTTAGTAAGAGTTCGCTGTTCAGCTTTAGATTCACGTTCTATTATAGAATTTTCTACTGTACTATACTTGAACTGCACTATGTTCTATCATACCAATATATCTAAGACAATACCAATAGTACTAAGATAATTTAGAAGATTGTAGAGATTTCGTCCCTCGCTTCCACTTCGATCGCGTATAAATTAATAATATAACCATGTTTATTTAATTTGTTCATTACTTTGTAATATTTATTTTGTTGTTGTTCTTGATTTTTAGTACATATATTTGATTTAGCACACCTATTATGTGTATATTTGTTAGTATTGGCCTGTATATTTGTTGCTATGTTATATATATAACTAGCTTTTGCCCGCGGCTTCGCTCGCGTTAATTTATCCCCTCGGGGTGAAATTTATCAAAATCCTTTCTTAGGGGATGTCTACGTCATAGTAGCTTTATGCATGCAAAGTCTCAGCCCGATCGGTTTAAAATTGACAAAGTTTCATACAAACTTTCATCCCCTATTTTATTCCCTTGGGGGTAGAATTAATCAAAATCCTTTCTTAGCGGATGCCTACGTCATAACATCTACCTGCATGCCAAAATTTCAGCCCGATCCGTCCAGAGGTTTGGGCTGTGTGTTGAGATCACTATGTCAGTCACCTTTGAGTTATATAAATTAAATAACTGATATAAAACTAAAATACTATACTTCTTACTATATCTATCTATATAGATAGATATAGTAAGAAGTATAGTATTTTACCCATGGCTCAAATTATTAATGATGTAGTTAATCTCCCATAATCTATACATTAAACGTTTTATGTCTAGATTATATATTTTAGCTATTGAACTCATTTGTACTTTTCTTTCAAACCATTTCCTTAAAATAAAACGTGATAAAATATTGCATTAATAAAGATGTTATAGGTATTAGTTTTTGTTCAGGTACCTGAATAAGGTTCACCAGAGGTAGACTGTAAAATGTCATCAGCCACCAAGCAACTTGTTTGGTAAACTATCTTTTGGTTGTGATCAGATTAGGTTGTTAAATTACAGTACAAGAGGCATAGCATCTTAGTCATTAGGTCATCAGTTTCTTTGCTATTCCAAATACATATAAAATACTACTCTTATATACTGTTTTAAATTTGAGGCGGTCACCTATACATATAAATAAAACTGGAGTGTCTGTTTGTAATATTGAAATAACCGTCTTTTACTACATGCATATGAATATAAATACGATACATACATCAAAATTACATTTTTTACAATTTTTGTCTGTCCATCTGTTGGTCTGTTTGTTCCGTCCAGCTAATCTCTGAAATGGTTGGACCGATTTTGACGGAATTTTTTTTGGTAGGTAGCTAATGTAATAAGAAGTAACTTAGGCTAATTTTATTTAAAAAAAATGTTTGTTTTAGAATAATAAAGTTAAATTCCACACGTTATTTATATGTATAATTAGTAAATCACGATATCTTACCACTTTTTATTTTTATTTATTCTAAACATCTGAGATGCTTATTTTCTTATTACGATCTTATTTTCTATTACAATTACAGTAAGGTAAATTATGTTTACCCATTGATTTTTCCAAGTACAAAATCAAAATCAATATCTTATAGGTTACTTAATCCGATAGCATTAAACTTTACGCTACTTGTGCAAGTCGTATTTTTTTATCCCTACCATCTTGGGCTAGCTACTTGAGTTGATAAGAATTGACAAGAAACTTTGACGGGTACATTTTTTAAAATCATTATTTTTTACAAAGACTTTGTTCATATGAAATGTATTTAGAAGCGTATTACTTTTAGGTACATTATTTAACAATCAATTTGGGAATGTTTTGTTTGTCGGGAATAAATCAGCAAATTTCATTTAATTAAATGAACGGATTCAAATTTAAACTCAAACTCACAAACATCAAATGTGGTAACTACCAAGTTCCCAAAACTAAAATAAAACGTCCAGTGTTATAACATATTTAAAACCCGACGAATAATTTGGTCAGATACTAGAAATTTTATAATATCGCCAACTTAATTTTATAATTGAGTGGTTATTACCGCCAATTTAAAAGAATATTTTTAACTGTAAAAGCCGGCTTCGGTGGTCCTTCGGTTTAGCACGCCACTTTACTTTCGATGGTCGCGGGTATTTTCTATACATAATATTAGCGATTCCTCGTGTAAAATTTATAGTCTGTATGTTATTATGATGTATACCTATATTATTGCAAAGTTTCATTCAAATAACAAACATTTGTATTCATGGTGAGTCGCAGGGCACAAACATTTGATTATTGTTTGTATCGGTCTGGGTGTTTTCTATGTATATCGTTTCAAACAATCATACATATGTATGTATTTACAAAAAAAATATCTATGTATATGTATCAGTTATCTGGTACCCATAACAAAAGCTTTAGCTAGCTTAACTTGGGTCTAGATGGCACTGTGTGAATTGTCTATAAATAAAAAAAAACATTTAGTAATCTAGTAATAACTTCCATCCATACTCACAAACTTCCGTATTTATAATATTAATAGATAGGTATATGTATTTACGAAAAAAAATCTATGTATTTGTAAATCTATAATAGTATTTGCTTAATTTCAGTTATCTATAATAATAACTGTCTCACACATCCCGATTTATATGATGTAGACCTAAGTATATATTACAGTACGTCGTCAACGTAGGTGTTTTGGCTGTGAAACTATACGGTACAATGCATAGTCCTCCGGAAAGCATTGGGGTAGTACCTGGCTTCAGATAACGATGAGATATCAGTGATGCTGTTGAGGGTTGACGTATGTATATATGTGAAAATACTTGGACTGTCACTGTATTTACCCTTCAGTTCCATATAAAAATGAAGACTGATGATATTATAACATTTTTTTTTATGAATTTATATACCTATATTTTAAATACAAAAGGAAAGCATGTAGTAATTTAGGAGTTGGATAAATTAAGAAAATGTTTATTAATAAAATCTTATTTATTTAATGTAAATATGTACATTTTGGTGATCTTAATACAATACTGAGGTAACTTACAAAAATATTTTTTTTTATATCATTATTTACACATATACTTATTTTAATCATGAATATTGTTAAATTAGAATCGACATAAAATTTTATAAAATTTGAATCATCCTAAACTCAAATAAATTTGTATATAATGAAAAAATATACATGTGTTGCCACTTAGCAATATTATGAAAAAACAAATACCGCCATAAAAAAAACTGTTACAATAAAAAAAAATAGAACCTATGGTACAAAATATTTGAGCACTATAGACTGATAAAATTATTTTTTAAACCTTTAAGTATTACTGGCCTTTTCCGCCTTCTTCCGGATGCTAACATAATTATGTGTTTTGTAGGCTATCGGAGGCCTACATATTATATTAATATGTACCTATAAAACACATAATTATGAGCACCAAGAATACGGCACCTTTCCAATTATAAAATATTTCTGAAATCAGAAGTTCTGAAGTTTACTTTCATCATAATTGAATTTGCTCTCTCTCTCTTTCTATATATTTGTAATATATATAATAAAAAGAGAGAGAGAAGATTTAATTTGAATTTAGAGTATTTGTATACTTTACTTTAAATTTTAAATTGAAAGTAAAGTCTACAATTACTGATTTGAGAAATGCTTAGATATACACTACGTCTTTGGCTATCCTCTTCGTTTGCTTTTCATATAAAGAACATCTATATGAAAAAATCTAAAAAAAATATGATTTACAATAAAATTATCCAGTTTTGTATATACTAGCTGCTTGTCCCACAACAGACACTGCAGGGGCGGCCTTGATGATGCCGTCTCGTACATTTCTGCCGGCTTTTTCCTGAAAAGAAAATAAAGGTAATGAGAAAAGTTAGAAAGAATTGAATTCGTCAATCTCGTAAACTTTCTTTTCAACTTATTTCATTGACAATAAATATAAATATATTTTTTTTGTTACGTTTAAAATTAAATTAAAACAACCAATATATCAATAACAATATAGTAACATTTTTTTGGTGTTACAGTACTAGTTGGTAATTATTTATAGATAGTTACTAACTGTTATTAGATATTATTGTGCTTTATAGAGTTGCTGTTTCTTTTATTATTACGGTTATTACAAACATATGTACGTATAGTTTCGTAAGGTTATTACTCGGTGGGTGCATTGGTATTATACTGTAATATGAGTATTCAAGGGCATGTACCTACTATTATAAATATTTAAATAATCATAAAATATAATACAACATTTAATACTACAGTACAGTAAACACAAGAATTTTAAACCTTCTATTTCTAAGAAAATTAGTTTTTACAATTTTTGTAAGCAATTTCTCATGACTTTACTAGACATAATTTTATTAGTTTCCAAAGTAAAAATAATAATTTACTACAATATTGTACCATCTATTGTATTATTATAGATATAATAATAGGTATGTCAAGATAGATACTCATTAACCATATTCAGAAAATTAGATTACATTTAAACTAATAATTATTAAAACTTACGATTTTTTTAAAGATTTTCCACTTTGGACTGGGGGCACCCGAAACCGCCGTCAAAGCCATGACACAAGCGAAAACGAACAAGAAAATCTTTGAGAAATTCATTTTCAAAATTTGATATTTAAACTGTCAAGTGTAAACACTTAAATGTATTCGTGTTGAATGATGCTTGACTGCACAATCCTCTCGTTTTATATATTTGTACAACTGCGTACAACAACAAATATTTATTTTCGCTTCGCAACAAGGCAGTAACTATAATTTGAACTTTATTATTATAGAGATAAGAGTGTAGTTACATGTTAAGTATGCATAAAATAGTACGAATGATAACAATTTGCTACTAAACGAACTGAAGGGAACTCCCTGCGCTCCCAGGCCGAGTTAATCCCCAAGGGTTCAAATGTCAAAGATAAAATTGTTTTATTTAGCGTGGCGATAAATGTTTCGACATGTTCCGATGTGTAATTTTGTGCTTGTTAATTTTGATAGGCGCATTATATCTTGGATTAAAGACCCGTTTAGTAGAAAGTTTCCGAGAATCGTGCCCACGACCATCAGAAATAAGGAAGTGTGCTAAACCACTAGACCAATCAAGACTCTCGAACCTCGGTAAATTTAAATTGCTTGTCTTCATTAAGATTTATAAATCATTTAAGAATTATAATAAATCTACCTACTCGCTCTGGCTTCGCCCGGTTCTACAAGTATTATACATATAAACCTTCCTCTTGAATCACTCTACCTATTAAAAAACCGTTTCAAAATCCGTTGCGTAGTTTTAAAGATTTAATCATACATTTTTTATACTATGTAATGATTAGCACCACTTCTTCCCATCTTCAGGGTGTCATAATATATTTTACAGTGATGTATTAAGAAATAACTCCTTATTATTTCTTATTAATATCAGTCATGTTTATTTTCTATGCATTTATACTGAAATATTAAACAGTGAAATTCGTGGAAATGGTATTACTTTATAAAAGCATATAAATTAATAATATATGTCTCGATACAGACTACTTAGCGTAGAGACTACTTAGAGGATTCCTGTTTTTTATTTGTGTTGCCAGGTATTAACAGTATACTTAAGAATTGTAGAACAATTTCAAGTATATGTATACTCATTATTTTATTGTAGCTAATTGCTACAGATGTGCAAGATAAGTAATACTAGACAAGTAATAAACAAGTATATATTTAAACCATGTTTTGTAAATATTTACTTCTAATATAATTATCAGAAGAAGCTAATACGAACACATTTATTCATAAATAAAATTATTCGTACAACCAAAAACTTGCGACCATAATCATCGCTATAGCATCAAGATCATTAATCATAGTAACTCGAATATTTATTTGATAAACACGTGACTGAGTTTATCAAAGAAATATTCTGATCCACTGTCAAGGACTAACATCATTGTTATGTTAATTTAACATGACCTGACAGAGGTACACTTTGAAAAAATCGCATGCGTACCTCTGGCTACATGTTTCAGCGGCCCAGCAGTTTGTTTAATTGGAGGGTTTTTTCAGACTACTCTAATGCTGTTGGCCGCAGCTGGCCTTTACAGCTTCACCGGATGATAGGGGGCGAGTGCATATGGCATTTCAATCCTGCGGAACAGGGGGGACGGGGATTGTTAGTAATATGGACTCTTGACCCCATTGCTATCAATGTACTATGTCAGGTTGACCTCCACGCGGTTCCCCCTGGAAACCATCGTGATAAATTACAGGTGAATTTGTCACGATGGACTAACTGACCTGACCTTCATGCTCATATTATCACCCTCCACTGGTGCCCCGCCAGCGTAAACCGTTAGAGCAGGCGGGTTCACCATTTCATTATCACATACAAAAAAAAAACGGAACAAGCTTTAGCTAGCTTAACTGACGGATACGACTTTAGATGACGCTTTGTGTAATTTTAATCCCCGGTTGAATTAGACTGAAAATTGATCAGAGGGGATTGGACAAGGGATCGATTAGAGGGGAAATAGGATAATTATACATTACACTACTTTACAAAAATTTTATTTTATTTTACCCATCACTTTATTATAGGATAATTATACATACAAGAGGAATGACGAATGACAATTTAGTGGTGTCCGTACGGCACAAACATTTGTATTCATGTTTATGTAAATGATAACTTACCTGTAATCAGCTCGCTAGCAAAAATATAAAGACAATATGGCAGAAGAAAACAAATAGTATATAAAAACAGAACGTCAAAATATAAAATTCAAATATATATAAAAAACATAAAAACTATCAAAAAGGTTGCCATCGGCAACAATGAGTATGTTGTTATATTATATTGTTTGTATCGATCTGGGTATTTTCTGTGTATAATATGTATGTATTTACGAAAAAAAATCTATGTACCTACTTGTATCAGTTATCTAGTAATCGTGCTTTTTGCCACTAGATGATAAATTATTATAATGACAATTTAGGACTTGTAATGATAACTTACCATCAGGCAGGTCACCAGCCCGTTTGATAGAAAGCCATATAAAAATTTGGTTGGAAGGTGAAAATTTGGTTGTAAGTATTTTTTAATGCCACAATAAAAAAATATAATCAATAATTAAAAAAAAAATGACATTGCGATAAGAGAATTATATTATATAAAAAAATTAAGAGCTGACTATCAGAACAAAGTAAATTAACTGAGAAGTAGAAATTCATAAAAATGAAATTAATATCAATTAAATACTTGAATTTAATAAGTACTTAGTAAGTAACTATAAATAGGAATTCAATTAATTTCCATTTACCTCTAAATTGAACGATATTCTATAAATTCCATAAATAACCAGCCACTTTAGCAATTTCATGAAATACGTCTACTGAAATAATTCATTGTTAGACATTTTATTGTTAAAACGAATAAAATTCCATTTTAGAAATTATATTTGCGCTCTATAGAAGAATTCGCGGACTTTTGCGCGTCAGAGTTAGAAACGCGTGACAAGTATAAAGTCCGTAAAAAGTAGACCATTTATAAAAGTTAAAAGTATTCATCGAAACAATTTTTTTTATGGATGATAATGGAATGGTTCACCCGCCTGCGCTAACGGTTTACGCTGGCGGGGCACCAGTGAAGGATGATAAGAACATGAGGTCAGATCAGTTAGCCCATCGTGACAAATTCACTAAGAATTTCTCACGATGGTTTCCACTATTTTTTTTTTCTTTTACCCAAAGACATTAATTATTATTAATTATTAATTAATTAATAAACACATTAATACTTTATGTGATTTCTACCCACTCTCTTATTAAAAATATATGTCTTATATTTTTATCACGTTAAGTTTTTTTAATAGACCCTCATTAAGTTATTTCGCTAACTTGTTACTGGTGCCGAGTTAATATTCGCTTTTGTTGTATTAATCTTAAAATTAAACATTATGATTGGTTTTAAAATAGCCTCAAGATAGTGTAAATTAAACCAGATAAGTTTTGCTATGTTTGTGGTCGAATTATCCCATAAAAAAACAGGACATATATTACTGAAGCCGTAACACGAGCCATTTCCATCTGAGTGACAAATCTTGATAAAAGTTGGATTCCTCGAGTGGTATGTGAAGAAGTATATAGCCGAACTGGTCTGCAGGAAAAAAAATACTTGCAGTTTGGTGGTAGGGGACCACGATGGTTGATGACTAACTGACCTTACCTAATGCTCATCTTATCATCCCCTACTGGTGCCCCGCCAGCGTAAACCATTAGTACAATAGGGTGAACCATTCTATTATCTTATATATAAAATTCTCGTGTCACAATGTTAGTTACCATACTCTTCCCAAACGGCTTGATCGATTTTTATGAAATTTTATATACATATTGAGTAGGTCTGAGAATCGGCTACTATCTACTACCCCTAAGGATTGTCCACCCCTAACATTATTTTTTTATTTTTTAGGCAACATTTTTTATTTATAAATTTTTATTATGTATCATTAAAAATACATACAACCCTAATTTTTCACCCTTCTAGCATCGACCTCTATTTTTTAATAGCGATTTTAATTTATATGGCAAAACAACTTTTGCCGGGACAGCTCTATAAAAAATCTATAAAAAAACTGTTAATTTACAATGTTATTTAGCTTCTATTATCAAAATAAGTGTAGATGAATTTGTGGATGTTTTTAAATATTTATTGAAAGTTCCAAATTATATATAGGTAGTATTATAAAGACTAGTTTTCTGCGTTTTTTCTATAAATAAACTTTAACTGTGCCACAAGTCATACAATTCCGTTCGACTAATTTTTGAACAAAGAAACTATACTTTTGCATCTCGCATTAATACAATCATAAATGTTGCGGGAACAGCAAATCCCACAAAGTCGTAACCATTGACATTTGTAAAACATCGCACAGTATTTCATTTAACTGGACGGGTATTTAAATTCGAGGCGTGAGTTATAGTTTATACTAACATCCAATATGATAATAAGAGGCATATCTTATCCGCGAAAAGACATATATTCTCTCTCTGTATGTATTACTATGTATATACATTAATTGTTATGTCATTAATATTCTTTAGTAAACTGTGATTAATATCGTTTGTAATATATTACACTAAAAATATTTCATCTTATCACATATTATATATATCAGTACATAATATATTGTATTATTATTTGTTAGTCCTAATAAATTAAAAAAGAGTATAAACGCGAAAGTTCGTGAGTTCGAATGGATGGATGTTTGATTTCACGCAAAAATTACTGAACGGATTTTGTTGAAACTTTACAGTAACCATAGCTTATACATCATAATAATATAATAGACTAAATTTCATGCGGATGAAACCTATATCACAGCTAGTATTTTTATATAACAAGAATAGTAAACACAAACTGCTGGCTTAAGGGGGTCTTCCTATGTGACGGCCTGTTTTTTAGGGATATTTTAGGATTTTTTTCTACGACCAGTAAATATTTAGAGCTTCAAGTTTTTTATCATTTATTAACACATATTTGGACAGTATAAATATAAAATTTCAGCTAAAAATATTCAGTCAAACTAGAGTTACAGCGCTCTGAACACCCCCGCCTCGAAAAAAAGAGCTCCCACTTCCTCCACGATTCCGGCTGATCGGCTTATCTGAAA